GTTGAATATTTTGAAAATAATTTGACATTTACACATTATTGTTCTAACACACAAATATTATTTCTTCCAGGAAAAGAACTGTAACTTCTGTTTTTTTTTACAAACACATAATAGTAACCAAAAACATCTTTTTGCAATAAGTAAAAGAAGGGAACAATCCTGGCTTTTTTTTTACTTTGAATTTCACCCTATGGATGGAAAATTACGTGAATGTCTTAGAGAACTTCTCTCCCTGTCATAACAAAGACAGCAGCACAAGTCACAATTCCCTTCTCTCTCTCCCCTTTATCCAAGTTGTGTTTCCAAGTCCCGCTCCTCTGAGATCTTCTGAAGATCCCAGGAAGCAGTGCATTATTCTCCCTTATTACTCCTAAAAAACACTGTACAATTCATCACTTAACACTCACGCCATGAGGAAAGACGGTCTCTCTCATACCCCTAAAAATTCCTGTAAGTGCCTATAAATTACAAAGAACAGATTAAGTAACTTTAGGCAACCCAACTGAATGAATATTTCCTAAGCGCCTACTCAGTGGCAGCGCTATTGTGCGAAAAGCCAGCAGTGCTCAGATGGGTAGGTCACTGCGCTTGTCTTCAAGGAGTTTAAGTCAATTCTGAAAAAGTAACATCTCTTAAAGGTTAAAGTTAAGGTGTCACTTTTATCACCATTGGTCCTAGGCTCCTCTTCTAGCTTCTCATACCTAATTCATTACTACTTAGCAATTGGCCCCACTTAAGCTGAATAAAAATTCAACCCACCATTCTCTCTTTTGATTAAGATCAATCACCAACACAGGGCTTTATCGGGCGAAAATCTGTCTGCAAAGGGTATGGTGGAAATGATCAAGAAACTCAATGTGATCACTGCTATGTAAGGAAATACCAAGCTACGTCATTAGAACTTAAGAATCAGGCAGCTACAGACTCCTGGAGGGCCCTGTCCAGCCAGCACCAAACTGTGCTGAGCATCATGCCTCACAAATTCTTTCCCCTCTCCTGATTTTTAACTTATACTTTATCAGCTGGAACTCAACTATCTGTGTTTCAAAAAAAACAGCAAAATAAAAATGGAATTAACTTATTACTTTTGGGGGTCATGTTTAAATTCTCCTTTCCTTTCAAAAATCAAATTGGAAGTAAGTCGATGTAATAAAAAAAAAAGAGAGAGAAAAGAAAAACATCACACACAACAACTCACAATCAACCATGGAATTTGCTTTATGAAAAGCTCTGTCCAGAGTTAGCCACCAAAAAGAGTTCCCACAGAACTATTTCTCAGCTCTCTAAACTGTCAGCAGGATCTTTAGTCCTGCCACCCAGGATCCACCCCTCCTCATTCCATCCACACTCCCGCTGGGAAGAGGAAAAGGTCCACCGTGAGGAAGGGATGACCCTCAACGAGCGGGGTTTTATTCTGAGTCTGAGTCTGAGTCTGGAGAGCCACCCCAAGCCCAGCAGTGAGGCCAGGGAGCTAGGAAGGCTGGACTGAGCAGACTCCCTTGCCAGGAGCCAGCCCCATCTCAGAGTCACACCAGTGGAAGACCCACCGGATGACACAGGGATGGCTCTGCTGCACTGATGCGTGAATACGGACTACACTTTGGCTGCTTCCTTCCAGTTAAATCTACTATAAACTTAGAGGTGGCCCAAACAGAACTAGAAAAGAAACAACTGGAAATGTTCACCTTTATTTTACATCCCAGAAGGTGAGACGTGAAAGACACCTGGGAAGTGACAGTGTCCAGCTGCCTCACCTCACACGTGGAGAAGTGAAGCTCTGAGAAGTAAATGACTCGCCAGCATCACACAGCTAATCAGTGACACGAACTCATCCAGCAGCACCCGGTGCATTCATCAATCCATCGCAACCGCACCACTGATCGGAAACTCACACATCTCTCCAGGGTTAGGATGCCTCTCAGTCCAACAGAAAGTAACTGCTGCCTCTTCTGACGTCTTTCTTCAGGAACCTGAGTGAGTCTGCTTTTTTCAGAGCTGATTCTGTACGTGTGGGAAAGAGTTATGAAACAAAAACGAAGTACTAACCTGGAACAAACGTAGTGAGGTATTCAAACCACTGCCTGATGGTCGAGTCACCAAATAAATACACCACTTTTCTCTGTAAGCATTCTGTAATGTTGTCAGGGTCATTAAACTGGCGCATCTTAAACTTTCTGGGCCTCCACTGATCTTTGTAATAGTAACCAGAAGGAAAAGTTCCCGAGCCTTGAAATAGTTCCAGGTTGTTGGCTTCTGGGGTGAGGGGGAGGAAAAAATAAGATATTCTGAAATTCTTCTCCAATGAACCATACATGAAAATTGTTCTAAGGAACACAATTATGCCCCTGTGTTTGTTAGCCTGCTGGCATAAGGGTAACATTTCCTGCAGTCATCTCAAAGAAAGCCCAGACTTTCCCCCTCCTACAAAAAGTTCTTCTTTGCATAAAAAATGACAAGATGTGAAATGGGTGTGAGGGTGTTGGAAGACAGAAGGGGAAAGGGGACTCTGAGCATTCCCTCTGATTATGCAGGTTATCGAAGCCAAAAATAAAGGCAGGCAAAAACCAGGGAAAAGTGTAGATCTAAGCATCGTCCAACATTATCCCTGAACAGAAAGGTTTCTCCTCCAAATGCCTGTGAGGTGAGTAGCAGCTTAAACTCACACTTTACATGTGCATAGTAATATTAGCCCACTCTGTCTCAGCCCATTAAAAAGAAAGTTTTAATCCATGGGTCCTACAATCAGATATTAATTTAGAAACCCACCAATGAACACAGAAAACAAACCAATAACATACAGTCTAAAGAACTGCTCCTCCAGTACAAAAGATTCAGCCGTCCTTATACACAATGAACAGTATGTAAAATGCATCAGCAGTGTGTATGCACGCTTGTAGGCTCGCTGCACATAATGACACAAGCGCCAGGACACCTTTCAGAGGGACAGTCAACACTCTCCTGCCCTAACACCTCCCTCAGAAAGTGCCACTGTAGAAACAGCACGCTTTACATGCTTCAGATCAAACAGAGATGGCGAATACTTCTTGCGAGTTTTACTTTGCACACTGTTCTGAGCAATTAAAAGTATCACTTCATATGCTGCTCAGCACAGCCCTTTAAGGTAAGTGCTATTATTATCCCTACCATTCAAAACAGTTAGCACCTTGAGCCTAGCCCCAGAGCTAGGAAGTAGCAGATTCAGGATCTAATCCAAGCAGGTGAGGCCCCAATCCATGCTCTCAGCCACGGTGCTACGTCGTCTCTCAAAACACAAATGTTTATAGGTATCAGCCATTTTCTTTTTGGCTTTTTTCCTGAAAGCGTACACTTACTCATTTCTAACACTTATTATTCAAATCTACAACCTCTAAAAAACCACCAATCATTTTATATCACTTCCTTACATACCCCAAGATTCAAACCTTCATTTTAACCCAGTAATTCTACAATCTCACCTGTTAAACCACAATTCAAGATCCAAATGCTCATGACTCAGAAATTTAAGTGAATCTCCTATTTGTGACTGTTTACAGCTTATTTGACTTCTTGATATTATCTGTATTACTCAAAATTATTTTGGTTTTATTCCCTTCAAAGAAGATACCCTATTTGACAAATAGTGCATATTTAATCTTTTCTCTTAGGTATCTAATTCTTAGATAGATCCGGGGACTAAATTGAAAAATAAATAGCATTTTAAAATCTTTTCTACCAAATGTGATTATCAAAGAAAAGTGAGGGGTAGGGTAAACATCTGTTTGGCTTATTCAAAAACAGTTTCTCAACATGTTACCAAGTGTGGCTCTACCACATCACCACATCTTGCTCAAGTGCCTCATTATATCTGCACGTCAAGGCCACACAGACCAGACAGCTCCAGGGCTGACACCTGGGGCCCCAAGAAAATGTTCACTGAAATGTGAATTAAAAGTGATTTTGAAGTTACAATTTTTAACCACGGTTAATTCAGTAGACTCAGCTATTCTATGTCAAATAAATGTTACCAAAAAATGGATCTATCACACAGGAAACAATTACCATTTCCATTCAAATGTTAATTATATTTACTATCAGAATTAAGTCAAGCAAGCAAATCAATTACTGAACCTGACATTAAATTCTTTAAACATGCAGCACTAGATGAAAATACTTTTAAAGTGAAATGTGTGTACCTACATTGCCCTCTTATGGTCAGCTGGGACAAAAACATTTCCTGATTAATGTGGTATTAAAGCAGTCTGAAGTTGTTAAGAAAGTCAGCGTTTCTTGGAATTCAGAATGCATTTTCAAATAAGATATTTGACATATGAAAGTCTCTTAAATCCATAACATAATCCTTAATGTACTTAACATGTGGAATAAAAATAATTAAAAACAAAAATACGTTATTACTCAATTTTATGGTTATCTTAAATATCAACGGTGAAGGAAGTTTACATGGAGGCAGTTGTAAAAGTAGATATAAAGATCTTTATGCAAAATCAGAAAGAATAGTTTTGATTATTCGCAAGTAAGGTCCTTGCTTCTCTGAAATGTCTTGGCTTCTCTTTGAAGCCCACAGCTTACACTGTCCTCTAAAGGGCATCATCCCATGTCATCCATCAGCCATAATGAGGGCCATCTGGGCCTCGAATGGGACAAACTAAGAGAGAAAAGGCAGAGATCAATTTCCCTAAACTATCCAGAAACAGCAGGATGAGAGGGATACCATGCAAATTAAGGGTGGGAGATGTGTGTGCACATGTGCGATACAGGTCCCTTAACTTCATGGTGTGGAATTATCCACAGAACAGTACAGGGCAGGTCAAAGTGGGGTACATGGTTCATAAGGGGAAAGAAAGACAGGACAGAGAAGACATGGAGGCAAACGACTCCTTGACCAGGGAACACGGGCGGCACAGGAATGCCGCCTCAGGAGATAAGGAATGAGGACAGAGTGTCAAGCTGTCTGGGCACACCCTGCCGAGTGCTGGGAACACAAGGAGATCCCAGCTACACAGCAATTATAGTGGCTTGAGGTCGAGTTTACCCTTGAATTCCCCCCACAAAACCCTGGGAATTTGATTTTTTTTTCTTTATATTCCAGTCGCTCAAAGCTAAGCATTTCACGGAGGAAAGCCAAGAATGCCACATAAGGTAGAAATACCTGTGGATACAGACAACGTTGGAAGGGACCTCAGAGGACAGCTACTCCGGTACCTCTTACAGGTGAAGGAAGCAAGTCACAGAGTGACTCAGAAGGCTGAGGAGACAGGCTACGTGGCCGAGGCAGTACCGTTTACGGACACATTCACCTCATTATGGGAAGCGTTGTGGGGGTGGCCTTCCTCTTCCCAGGGGGATCAGCTTGCTGGATGTCATATGTAGGATATCAGTCCTTCGGTTTTCTAAGTTAACTGGGCCCAGACCTTGGTTTCATTATCTATAAAATGGGTAAACTACTAGTTATTTTGAAGAGTCACTGCGAAAATTCAATTACACAATAGTGTGAAAGCCTGTTTTTAACAGTAAGGGGCTATACTGGAGTGCTGGAAACATTCCATATCTTGATCTGGGTGGTAATTTATTAGTTTTCTTTTACTATGTAAAAAATCACCACAAGCTTAATGGCTTAAAAACAAGGGGTATTTATTTCCCCACAGTACTGCAGGTCAGGAGTCGGGCATGCGGGTTCTCTGCTCAGGGTCTCACAGGTGGAAATCAGGGCATCAGCAGGGCTATGATCCTTTTGGAAGGCTCTGGAGAAGAATCTGCTTCCAAGCTCGTGCAAGTTGTCAGCCAAATTTGGCTCCTTGTGGTTACAAAACTGAGCTTCTCATCTCCCAGCTGCCTGTCAGCCAGGGACGCCCTTCAGCTCTTAGAAGCTGCTACATTCCTTGCCCCCCATGGCCTCCTGCATCTTTAAAGCCAGCAACAAAGAAATCTCCCTCACACAGACGCCTTCTCACACTTTCAATCTCCTTCTCGAAGAACCTGGTCCCTGTTAAGGGCTATCTGACTCGGTCAGATCTACCCAGGATAATCTCTCCTTTTTCTAAAGCCAATTTTGTCACAGAATTGAAGGGAAGGGTGTATGTGGGAAGGGAAAGGCATGCATCACTGGGAGTCACCTTAGAACTGACCCTACCTCAGTCACAAAGATATGCACAGATATAAAACTCCATTGTACTACATGCTTATGATCTGTGTGCTCTATTGTATACAAGGTATATTTCAACAGATAAAAATAGTAAAAAGCTACAAAGATGTTAATCTATTGCTACCAGATCTAGACCTATCCTAACTTTCAGTAAGCTCTCCACAAAATGTGAGTTCTAGTTTGATTGTTGATGAGGTTTGAGGCCATCAAGGTCCCTAAGCCATTAGGCTATGATGGTTTGAGGACAACAGCGCAGGTGATTATGGAAATTCAGCCATGATTCTGGCACTGGGAGGGCCTGGCAGAAATCAGGGGCTTGCCCTTGACAAGGTAAAGCTGTGTTCCCTTGCTGGAATTCTCCCCATGCGTGGGGGGTGGCAATCTCAAGCAATCCGTCAGACTCTAAAAATGCAAGTGTACATCTTAGAACAACTTTACCTTGTGTGCAACCAATTAACTAATACACAAATAATGAAATGTCACAGAGAAAAATAAAACCTTCAAAATACAAGGTTCATAGCTGTAAAGACTATAAACCCTTACAAGGCTAGGGCAAAGAAGACACAAGATGGACCTGAAATACTTTGTGGTGCCAGAAAGTAAGAAAGTGCTCAAAAAATTTAAAAAAAAGTAAAAAATTCAAAAAAAGGATGAGTATGTCAAAAGGACACAGAAGCCAAACTGGAAAAGTTCCCAATTTGCAAAGCTGGAACAATATGAGCAACAACTGAGTTGGATTATAGCCCAAAGCATCAAACCGTCATGAGTCTCTATGGATATAATCAAATAAATGGTAAAGAAGAGACATCTCTTCCTTACAGAAAAATTCCAACTAATAAATGTCTTAAGAATGAGAGATACAGCAAGTCACCATTAGGACATCGCAGAAACAACCGCTGTGGGCAAGGTCTACTGAGTGCCAACACAAGGGGATGAAAATTTAAGCAGAAACAGAATGTTTACAGTCCCTGTCTTAGTTTCCTGTGGCTACTGTAAAAAGTCACCACAAATTTCGTGGCCTAAAACGACACAGACTTATTCTCTTACAGTTCTGAAGGTTGGAAGTCCAAAACTAGTATCACTGGGCCAAAAGCTCTCTCTGGAGGATCTAGGGAAGATCTTGTTTCCTGCCTGTGCTTGAGCTGTATTCTGTGGCTCACAGTCCCTTTCTCCATTTCTAAAGCCACTGTCATGGCATCTTCAAATCTCTCTCTGCTTCTATCTCCCGTCTTCTGTGTGAAGTCTCTCTCTGCCTTCTCCTTAAAAGGACACTTGTGCTTGCATTTAGGACCCACTCAGACAATCCAGATAATCTCTCCCTATCTCAAAACCCTTAACTTAATCACATATGCAAAGTTTCTTCTGCCAAATAACATTAACAAATTTGAGGGATTAGGATCCGGATATCTTGGGGGCCATTTTCAACCTACCACAGTCTCAAAGTATCTCCCCAGAATACTAAGTAAACACAAAGATTAAAATAGTAAGCTTACAGTGGAAAGCCCAGGCAGGTACCACTTTAACCAAGTGGTCAAGGTTAGCTAACATCCTTAGCAATACACATCATGAGCCCCCTTAAAAGAGTACAATATCATTTCTGTCTTATTCTTCCCAAAAATGCATAACCTCATTCCAATCATAAGAAACTATTAGACAAACCCAAATTTAGAGAGATTCTAAAAAATATCTGATCAGTGCTGTTCAAAAGTGTCAAAGTCACAGAAGACAATAAGGGACAAAGGTCTGTTACAGAGGGAAGACTAAGGAACTGTGGAACCAAATACAGTGTGAGAGCAACACTGGATTCTGGAACAAGAAAGGGGGACATTAGTGGAAAAACTGATGAAATCCAAATAAAATCTATTGTTAAGTTAGTAACATTGTATTGATGTTAAATTCTTAGTTTTGAT